GACAATGGTTATCAGTAATTTACTATGTAATTTCAAAATATCTAGAAAAGATTTGGAATGTTCTCGATACAAAGGAATGATAAAAGTTTGAGGCTTTGGGTATACTGAATAAGTTTTTTTTGGTGATTACACATTGAATTACATGTACTCCATAAACATGTACAATTATTATGTCTCAGTCAAGCATAAATGGATAAAGCCAGAATTGATGTCTTACTCATCTTCGTGACTTCTCAGATATTTTTTGCAGTGTTTTGTGTGTAGGATATACCAAGAAATTTTGTTAAATTGAGTTAAATAGGATGACTCCAACTAATTCTAGGTAATTAGGAATAATTTGAAACCTTGTTTTCAAAACTCAGGAGAGATTTTAAACAACACTTAATTTACTCTTTTAATAATGCTGCTTCTCCTAACACGAGGTAGCTTGAAACATTTTGAAATGGACAATTAATTACGGCACTTGCATTTAGAGAAGTGTAATGCAATGTGCTATTTCAGGTTTATATTTTCTTGGTAATGTTTAGAAAGCAGAGCTTTACTTTTTGTAAATTTGATGGCTTTTTTATTGACTAAAGCCAAATAACTTATCTTGATTTTCCCCATGTATTTGATTAATAATAATAAATATAAAATAAGCCTTACGATTTAAATGACTGTAGTTGAGCAGAACAAATGACATCACAGGCCAGGTTCAGCTTTCTCCTGACTCACTACAATAATGTCTTCAACATTTGGTTTAGCTTCGTTTTTGCCACCCCTAGGGATATGCGGTTCCGTGGTAACATAATTGAAAAGTGCATTGAAGATGATTTGTAGTAGAATCTGTAACAACAGCGTTCACCATTATTATTCTGAGTTATTTGATTGTATTCTGAAGGCTCAGTAACTGCTACCACTAAGACTGAATTAGTCAAGTACGTGTTCAGGCACCAATTAGCCAAGTACGTGTTCAGGCACCAATTAGCCAGTCTAAGGATAACCTGTGCCTTTGACTCGATTACATATTCCCTTAGACTTATTCTCTGGTTTTTGCTATTTTTTAGTTAAAAATGTTTATGTCTTCTACAATATTTTACTAATTCAGAATTTGAGTAACAGAAATGAAGCGTAGTTCAGAATGCACAGGATGTGATTTAGGGCTAATCCAGATGTGCTGATCAGGAGACCAACCAGCCTTTCCTTCACCTTTTTTATAACATTCAGGCTCTCAACAGATTAGATGTTTCATCTGTGCAGCAGATTTCCTTTACTCAGCCTACCAATTCAAACTCTAATTTCTTCCAGACACACCCTCACAGACACACCCAGAAATAATGTTTTACCAGCTGTCTTGGGACTCCTTAGCCTAGTCAAGTTGACACATAAACGTAACCATTACACATTTATTGTTAAGGGTGGCCACGCTCAAAGTTTTGCAAATGTAACGTATGTGGGAGTATCCTCTTCTCCTTATTCTTTTTCATCCTAGAACTATAGAGGTACGGTAGTTGTTTTGAGACCATGGAGATAATATACTATTGGGATGAAGAGCAGGACAACTAAAGGAACTGGGTACCTGATGGCATTATTTAGATACAGAATTCGGCCTGGATTGCATGCTCCCAGGTTTATAGGAGTGAGGAAGTAAGAATTAACCACTACATTAGATTGTCTTGCGTTCACTTGAATGCAATCCTAACAGCTACACTCGAAATATCTCTGACTTATATTGTCCTATGTCTGTCACCTTTCTTCTTAACTTCTCAGCGTTTCTCATAACTGTGAGTGGTGCTACTGTTAGCTCAGGATCTCAAACCAGAATTACAGAAACTCAATTCTCCCATCTCCCTCATGACCCTGTCCTCCTGAATAACATTTCTTTAACATTGCATTTACTTCTTACCCTGCTGCCATATATTAGCACAGGATTTGTAAAGATTATTGTAGCAAACATTTTTCTTTTTTATGAGACACAGTTTCGCTCTCGTTGCCCAGGCTGGAGTGTAATGGCACGATCTCGGCCCACTGCAACGTCCGCCTCCCAGGTTCAATCAATCTCCTGGCTCGGCCTTTTGAGTAGCTGGGATTACAGGCATGAGCCACCATGCCAGGCCAATTTTGTATTTTTAGTAGAGACGGAGTTTCTCCACATTGGTCAGGCTGGTCTTGAACTCCCGACCTCAGGTGATCCACCGGCCTTGACCTCCCCAAGTGTTGGGATTGCAGGTGTGAGCCACTGCACCTGGTCTGTAGCAAACATTTAAAATTGATCTTCGTGTATTTAGTCTTGCTCTACTTTGGGACATCCTCAATACTGCAGCAAAAGTTATTCTAAAATGCAAATCTCATTTTGCCAGGGATGCTGCTAAGTATACTACAGTGCACAGTTCAGCCCCCAACAACCAAGAGTTATCCAGTCCAAAATGTCAGTAGAGCTAAGGGCTACTATAAGGACACATGCACACGAATGTGCACTGCAGCACTGTTTACAATAGCAAAGACCTGGAACCAACCCAAATGCCTATCGATGATAGACTGGATTGGGAAAATGTGGCACATATACACCATGGAATATTATGCAGCAATCAGAAATGATGAGTTCGTGTCCTTTGTAGGGACATGGATGAATCTGGAGAACATCATCCTCAGCAAACTGACACAAGAACAGAAAATGAAATACCGCATATTCTCACTCATAGGTGGGTGATGAAAAATGAGAACACATGGACACAGGGAGGGGAGTACTACACACTGGGGTCTATTGGGGGGAAAAGGGGAGGACCAGTGCGGGGGGAGCTGGGGAGGGATAGCCTGGGGAGAAATGCCAAATGTGGGTGAAGGGGAGAAAGGAAGCAAAACACACTGCCATGTGTGTACCTATGCAACTGTCTTGCATGTTCTGCACATGTACCCCAAAACCTAAAATGCAATAAAAAATTAAAAAAAAAAAAAGAAATCCAGTTCCAGAATATCACATGTTTTGGAAAGCCTTCTCTTAGGTTTAAGTGATCTTTTCTTACCCCAACATACCAATTGTTGTAGTGCGTTTTATTGGCCTGTTTGTCTCACCGCTGAGTGAGGGCAGAGTTCGTATCTTATTGATTGTTGACTCCTCATTACTTAGCACAGGACCTGGCACAATGAAGGTCATTATTAGCATTTTTTGAATTGCATTGCAAATAAGCATGTGTATCATCAGTTCTGAGAAGCCCCCTCTGGGCTTACTCCAATCCCTTGGCAGATCTCACTCAGCTCTTCTTATTATACCACTTGAGAACAAGAGGCTCATGGACAATAGTTAGGAATCAGATTTTGGAGTGAGGGGAAAACAAATTTAAAACTTTTTCTTTTTGAGATGGAGTCTCACTCTGTCACCCAGGCTGAAGTGCAGTAGCACTATCTTGGCTCACTGCAGCCTCCACCTCCCAGGTTCAAGCAGTTCTCCTGCCTCAGCTTCCTGAGTAGCTGGGACTACAGGCATGTGCTGCCATGCCTGGCTAACTTTGGTATTTTTAGTGGAGATGGGGTTTTACCATGTTGGCCAGGATGGTCTTGATCTCCTGACCTTGTGATCCACCCTCCTCGGCCTCCCAAAGTGCTGGGATTACAGGTGTGAGCCACCGCGCCCAGCCTAAAACTCTTTCTTTTACGTGGACTGTTTTTTGAATTGATCCTTTCTCTGAATCCCCAAATAGCTGCTATCACCAGAAGGCCTTGGGAGAGGCAGAGCATCTGACTTGGCCGGGATTCTCTATTTCTTTACTAGGGACAAGGTGGAATCCAGCAGGAAGGATGGCATGGGAGGGGCTATTAGCCTGGCTGTTCTCCAGTCTCTAAGAAAACACTCTTCTTTGGATTGGTCATTCCTGTGTTGGAGTGGAAGACCTTGATGTCCAAAGATAGGTTGTAGGCTGGGAGAAAGGAACACAGGCTAAGAGGAAGGGGGCCAATTTCTAGTATAGGCCTTAAAAATACAGGCAGGGGAGTCCTTATGGCATATACACTGCTCAGGCCTCACCAAGTATATCAGTTTCCTAGAACCATCGCAAAAACATACCACAGGCTGGGTGGTTTATACAACGGGAACTTATCCTTTCACTGTTCTGGAGGCCATAAGTCTGAAGTCAGGACATCAGGAAGACGGGTTCCTTCCAGAGTCTGAGGGAGGATCTGTTCTGTGCCTCTCTCCCTGCTTCTGCAGGTTGCTGGCAATGATTGGCATGAATAGCTTGTAGCTTCATCACGCCAATCTGCCTCCGTCATCATACGGCCTTCTTCCTTGTGTGTCTCTGTCTGTCTTTTTCTTACAAAAACATTAAGTGACTGAATTTAGCCCTCCTATTCTACTCATTCCATACCCCAGTATGACATCATCATAACTAGTTATATCTGCAAAGACTTTATTTCCAAATAAGGTCATGAACGAGGCCCTGGGTGGACGTGAGTGTTGGGGGAGACCATTTAATCCACATAGGCCTGAGAGTGTCCTAAAGAGTTTCTAGTCAAAGCCCTGTAGGTGAAGTGTGTATTTTTTGCAGAGTCTCTACTCTGCAAAGGTCTCATGAATTTACCATGGCGTGAAGTGGCGGATCCAGAATGTAGAAATGCCTTTTTTCTGGCTGTCCTCATTGTAACAAATACATGTAACCTTGGCTGTGGCTCTTTAAATTTTGTAGGTACAGCCTAATTTATTTAACATATGAGGCATCCTATTTAATTTTTTTCAGCTGACCAAAGTAAATGTTTACGTGGCAGAATACCGTCTTACCAGGAGGTTGACGTAGCTCACTGAGCACTCGTTATCTATCAGTGGAGAGAGCATATTGAGTCAAAAGCATCACCCAGATAATACAAGAGGAGGCCCAGGGCTCTATCCTTAAAACTCAAAACTCATCTTTCTCCTCTATAACATTTAGAGATTCCATCAACCCAATGTACATTCTGTTTCTCTCCACCATAATAAAAAACACATCAAATACTTAAACAGGGTTTTTTTTTTTTAACTGTGATGTGAAAAACTCAGAATTGCTAGTTTTGTGATAGCATTTCTTAAAGGACGATGGACTAGGAGGGTGTTGCAACCGGAGTTTTAGCAGGAGGCATCACATTACAGTCAGCTGCATCACGGGTATAATTTGCAGTGATTTGAAACCATAGAAACAAATGAAAGCCACGGCCCGTGTTTGCACTGAGCTGAGATTGCAGGCGCGTGACCTGTTCACACTGCCAAAAGTGGTAAGTATTTCACCAGCCAAAAATAGACTCAGGTACGTTTGTCCTGTCTCAATGCATCTGTGAGCACTTAATAAGGTTGACAGTTATGCAATCATCTTTCTGGTCTCCTGACATGGTTGAAAAAATGACTTCCATTGTTTTTTATGATAATCCAAGCTGGGGGTGAGAATAGGTTGAGAAGAAGTAAGATTTCAAAGCTAAACGGTAAAACGACCATTAGCACTGTAGCTGTAAAACAAAATCCACTGTAAAATGGCATAGGAAGGCACTCAGGCCTTTGTTGGCACATGGATGGCTTATCCGGTTTAGAGCACTAAAAAGAGAGATGGAAAGCAGCCACCGTTGAGACATTAGTCAAGAAAATAAGAATATTGAACCCTATTAGATGCAGTTCTACTTGGGTAGAAATGAGAAAGATAATTGAATACACTGGGCATTTAAAAAACTTTACCACTGGCTGGGCGTGGTGGCTCAAGCCTATAATCTCAGCACTTTGGAGGCTGAGGTGGGTGGATCACAAGGTCAAGAGATCGAGACCATCCTGGTCAACATGGTGAAACCCCGTCTCTACTAAAAATACAAAAAATTAGCTGGGCATGGTGGTGTGTGCCTGTAGTCCCAGCTACTCGGGAGGCTGAGGCAGGAGAATTGCCTGAACCCAGGAGGTGGAGGTTGCGGTGAGCCGAGATCGCGCCATTGCACTCCAGCCTGGGTAACAAGAGCGAAACTCTGTCTCCAAAAAAAAAAACTTTACCGCTAAGGAGCATAAGCTGTTTTATTTCTGTTGAGAATTAGTCTCGAAAACATAAAACTTTTGGGTGTAATAATTTTGGAAAACTTCTTCTGTTTGGTATTACATATGAAAAAAATTCATACAAATGAAATGTAGCCCAACAGAATTAGTTTTGAATATATTGAAAATTAAATATTTATTTTTAAATACAAAGGACATACATGGTTTTGTTTGTTTGTTTGAGACAAAGTCTTGCTCTGGCGCCAGGCTGGAGTGCAGTGGTGCAATCTCGTCTCACTGCAACCTCCACCTCCAAGGTTCAAGCAAATCTCCTGCCTCAGCCTCCTGACAGGTGTGTGCCACCATGCCTGGCTACTTTTATTGTATTTTTAGTAGAGACAGTTTTTTACCATGTTGATCAGGCTGGTCTCAAACTCCTGACCTTGTGATTCACCTTCCTTGGCCTCCCAAGGTGCTGGGATCACAGGTGTGAGCCACCGCCCCCAGCCATAAATGTTTTAGAGTAGTGATTACACTTCAGATTTCTGCAGATGCCTCTACATTTGTATATTAGAAATTAGGTATCTTCAAATATTCTCCTCCATTCTTCTACTAATAGCCACAGATTGACACCCCAAAGGTCACATACGGCTTTCAAATCTGTTTCTTTTGACATTTACAGTTTCTTTAAAGTTGTTTTCTATGTGAATGTCCTTCTTTCTTGACCTTCTAATGTGTTCGGCTGCATTTTCCATGTCCCTCTAGTGTCCGCCTGATGCCATTTTTTCCCATCTCAGATAACTGTTCTTCAGTGTTCCAAACTGCTGCTACGCTTCTTTCTAGATTCCTGAAAAGCTGCTTTCTCCATTAAATTTGTCGTAATAATTTATAACTTGCTTTTCTGTTTTCCAACGTGCCTATTTAATAACACCACAGCAGGATAATATAGTCCAAAGAAACAGAATGCTGACAACACTCAAATTGGTTTAGTTTCTGGGTACTCCCCATTGCTCTAGAATTGGTAAACTGGCTGGGCACAGGACTGGTATTAAGAAACGGTTTTCCCTCAGTCTCCACCAGGGTCGTCGCCTTGATTATTAATTGCTGCTGTAGACAGAAGCCTGGTGACAAAGACAGAGCAGTGAGAGAAGCAGTGCATCAGAACTCTACTAATGTCGGGCCGGGCACGGTGGCTCAAGACTGTAATCCCAGCACGTTGGGAGGCCCAGGCGGGTGGATCACGAGGTCAAGAGATCGAGACCATCCTGGTCAACATGGTGAAACCCCGTCTCTACTAAAAAGACAAAAATTAGCTGGGCATGGTGGCGCGTGCCTGTAATCCCAGCTACTCGGGAGGCTGAGGCAGGAGAATTGCCTGAACCCAGGAGGCGGAGGTTGCAGTGAGCCGAGATTGTGCCATTGCACTCCAGCCTGGGTAACAAGAGCGAAACTCTGTCTCAAAAAAAAAAAAAAAAAGAACTCCACGAATCTCTCCTTACTCATTTTGCTCAAGCAGGCATCCCTCTACCACACCACCTACGTTTAAGGAAATGGTGGCTCCATCCCCAACTCAGGCAAATATATTCTGATTATTTTAAGCCATTTAAAGCAGTTCCGTGGTATCCTTTTCAGGCCAAGGAGATATGAGGAGGAGTTGGATGAAGGTTCTGGAAAAATGTCTCCACTTTTAAGTAGGTAACACTGAAAAATCAGACCTTTTCAACTTCTCCATTCATTCTGTCTGGATGTGATGGCTGGAAATGCTACCAGCTGCGGAAGAAGCCAAAACGTGAAGGAGAGAATCCAGAGAAGTGTGGGGAAGCTGAGCTGGACCCTGGCAAACTGTGCTGGGGTTGCGCCACCTCCGCTGCAGGCACTTCGAGTCGGGGCTTTCGGGCACTTACAGTCAAAGGCATCTAAACTCACCCAGTGTTGTATAAGAGGCGAAATACCCTGACTTTCCTAACCCTCCAGAAATCCCTTTGTTGCTTTTTTGTCCTTTGGTGTAAAACACTTCCCAGAATTCTTTTCTGGGAAAAAAAAAAAAAAAATCCCTGCTGAGAACTTAGCCCAGTGCTGCACTGAGAAATGTACTAAATAGTTACCAATGATTGCTATGCTCTGCTTTTGTTCTTTTAATCACTATTTCAATTTGATTATTATAACTTGTGACTGCAAAATAATTTAAAGTGTGTAAATTGCTTTGCGTCATTTCATTTAGTTCAAATAGCAGCCCCGTGAGATAGAGGAAAAGAAGATGTGAAAAAATGGAGCCCAGAAAGATTACAGTATTTTGACCAACACCAGGAATCTCGAAAATGTCTTAAATCTAAGCCCTCAAAGCTAGTGCTGTTTCCATCAAATCACAGCTACAGATTAGAGCAAACCTAGGAGTTATCATGAAGGAAACGTTTGCAAAAGAGAAGCAGGAATGCAGCTCCAGACCACGTGCAAGGAAACTGGGATCTGCTCCGGGCTGTGTCATCCCTAGCTGTGAAAACCTAGGTGAGTCATTTTTATTTCTCTGAGCTACAATTTCACGGAACTACACTAGACAATTAGGTGCTTCCCTATTCTCTAACGTCCTGTGGCTCTGTAACTGAGAATTGCTGATGCAAATAAGGTACACATCATGCTTTATGTAAACCATGAGGCTTCCCCGGTGAGTATGGTAGAAACCCACTGCGTATGTTCTGCCGGGCTTCTGTTTGAGCTTCCACATTCATGCCACATGAACACCTGTGAAAACGTCAGCAGTTAACAGATGGGTTGAACATCAACTTAAGCTAGCTTCATAACCCAAGTCATGGGCTTCTCATTTGCAGAATAAATTTTACTCTAGAGCTGCAAAAATCACTTGTCAATGAGCTAATTTTGTCACCGTGATTCTTAGAACACGTTTAAATGGGCATAAAAAGGCAGTCCTACAGAGTCTTCAAGATGCTGATTTATTATGCACTTGATGGCAGGTTTCCACATTGATTGTCTATGACTGATTTCCCGTCACGGTTTTCACGAAGCAAGTGATATTTGCTATCTCAATAGGTATAGGTTTGCAAATTTAGCACTAGAGAGGCTATTTTCTCCTGAGCAATTTGTCAGCAGTTTGAGAAAATTGCTATTAGGGAAACCATGTACGTTGGCTGCAGTCTCACAGTCCAAAAGCTCGTCTTCACACAGACAAATCACTAAGTCAAGGAAAACGTGGCACAGCGGGACTTCAATCTCCGAAGTCGAAACTCGTCCATGTTAGAAAGCACGAACTGATAACTATTAGAGAAATTGTAAAGTAGCGCTTTATGAAGACAGTTAAGCACTGGCTGACTACAAGTATCGGGGATTATGGCTACACAAGGAAAATAACTAAAGGAGTTTGGGGAAAAGATTGGAGAAAGTCTGGCTGAGTATGAAATATAGTGGTTTCTGCCTTTATTCTTAGATAAAAGATGCTGGAAATTGAGTCCTCACAATGATTCAGGTGCAAAGGTGATGATATAAAACTTTGTGTTAAGTCTTTTTCTGAGTGACCTAACTTACACTAGTCAAGTAAAATAGAATCTATTGGCTCATACGGGAGGTCCAAAGAGTAGGCTGGACTCCTGACTGTAGCAGGCACCAAATGATTTCAGCTCTCAGCTTCGCTTCTCACTGGACACTGGCTTCCTTCTGTGGATACGTTCTTGACACACACTGGAAATGGTGGCTACAGGAAGCTCATGGCTCTATCCTTTTCCTCCCCAGGAAAGTGTGTGTAAATTCTAGGAAACCATCTCACTAGCCCTGTTTAGTTTATAAAAATACCCTGGGTCTGTCACTGTGCCAAGGAGATGGGCTACTCTTATTGGCCAGCCTGGGTCACCGCTGATGCCTGGGGTTAGGGAGCATTATGACAGACATTCCACTGGGAACTTACGTTGTAGGGGTACGGAGTTTGCCCAACATAAGGGATTTGGGACGGATAAAATCATAGGTCTACTACTTGAAGGTTCTCTTGAAATTTCCTATAAAGTTTTCATATTTAACACTAAACCTAAAGCTAAAGAACTAAAAAAAAAAAGTGAGTCACGGACAAGCTTTTTCAAATTATCCCAAAATGCTTTGCCTTAGAACTAAAATAAATAAAATAATTAGAACAGAATAAAATGTAAAGTAGGTAGTATGCTCATCTAACTCCTATTTTTCCTATAAACTTGTTATTAAAAGAACTGTGCACCAAGAAATACAAATTGCTAAATGTAAAATGACTGATAATTTACAAGAAAATTGAAATAATTATGAATTAGTGCTTCCATAATGGCACAATCCATCTCCTCAATTATTAATTTGGTCCCACACTTGAGTAAATCTAATGTAACCCAGAAGATACTGGAAATGAAGTTTTCATTAACCTTAATGGAATTAATCATTAGAGTGGGTTCCGTGGAACAGACTGAGATGAATGACATGCAGATTTATAAGAAAGGGAGGAAAGCAGGATTAAGCAGAGGCAAAGCTGATCTGCCATGCAATTGCGACTGAAATCTCAGCCCACCCACAGGCGGGCTGGAGGTGGTGTGACCCTTTAAAGTTCCTAAATTGAGGCAAGGGGGCCAGGCCTTTGCTCTTCCACACTGACCAACCATTTAATGCAGGCTGACCCAGGGTGGAGAGAGAGACATAACCGTGGGCCAGGAAGCTCCCTCAGCCGAGGGCAGTTCCTAGGCAGGGACTCGGCTGTGAGCTTTAAGCCGACAACATTGCTGGGAGCTGGGGGAGTGAGTGCCTCAGAGCTGCACAAGAACCTAAGTAGCACATCACAGCATCCACTATGGGGCCTGCTGCTCGGAAGACATCCCGTTACACTATGCAAATGTCAGGTCCAGTTTCATTTTGATCTCCAGACAGAAACAGTCTCTTTCGGCCAGAGAAAATTTAAGCATTTCCCATTGTCACAACCGGCAAGAGAACAAAGGGGTCAGAGCAAAGAATGCTAATACTGCTTAGAGGAGACAGTTACTGAAGAGAACAGAGATAAGGAATGAGGCAATTCCAGTGAGAGGAACACAGAGCATTACATAGTCACTCCTAGGGTTAACAAGCAAAGATTCATCTGCATAGAACCCTCAAGCAAGATTTTTCTTTTTTGAGACAGGGTCTTGCTCTGTTGCCCTGGCTAGAGGGCAGTGGTGCGATCATGGTTCACTGCAGCCTCCACTTCTTGGGCTCAGCTGGTTCTCCCCTCAGCCTCCCAAGCAGCTGGGACTACAGGCACATGCCACCATGCCTGGCTAGTTTTTTGTGATAGAATTTTTTTGTATTTCTTAGGTTTTGCCCCCATTGCCCATGCAAGTCTTAAACCTCTGGACTCAGGCAAGCTGCCCACCTCAGCCTTCCAAAATGTTGGCATCACAGGCATGAGCCATGACACTCGGCTGTGAAACCAGATTTAAGGATCTCACCCCAGATATTATCTTAACAGAAACAAAACAGCTGAGGCAAAAAAGAGACGATTCTCTCCGCCCAAAGTCGGTGCCCTCATCCAAACTGTTTAACCGTGATCACCAGCACCTTGGTGAGTTAGAGCCGGAATGAATATCACACTACAGTTTGTTCAACACATCTGTCATAACTCAGGTGTCCATTTCTGCTTCTCCTTGTTTTTATGCTGGCATTTTAGGGTGAAATAGGAGGGTATCAATCCAGTCTCAGGTTGTCCATCCAGCAGTCATTCTCCAAATCAAGTTCTTTTCATCATCAGTAGCTCCACGAACGGGCAAAATATCTTCCTCCTTGCTAGTCCTAGACCCTCGAGAGGTGGCATCTCTGTTCTCGTGAGTACCCAAAATGGGAAAATGTGGGACAGTTCTCATCTCTCTTTACTGCTCTGCTCCTTTGTTTATCATGTTAACTGCACAGAAGACTGCACAGAAATATTAGATTTTACTGATTGGTTGGAGGTGGCTGATGAAAATTATAATCTAGGGTGAGAAAAAAAGATATTTCTTCCTTTTTCTTTTGAGACAGGGTGTCTGTTGCCCAGGCTGCGGTGCAGTGGCAGTATCTCAGCTCACAGCAGCCTCAAACTCCCAGGCTTAAGAGATCCTCTTACCTCAGCTTCCTAAGTAGCTGGAACCATAGGTGCACCACACCTGGTTAATTTTTGTATTTTTTGTAGAGACAAGGTTTTACCATGTTGCCCAGGCTGCTCTCGAACTCCTGAGTTCAAGTGATCCGCCCACCTCAGCCAGCCAAAGTGCCAAGATTACAGGCATGAGCCACCGGGACTGGCTGAAAGAGCTATTTCTGTGTGATTTTTCTGCATAATTTAAAATAAAAACATGTAAGAAACTGTCATGGGCAGTTATAGCTCTCATCAGTCCTTTTTCCTTCAAGTTTGGATCTCTTTGTTTGTAAGAGTATTACCTTGTAAATCTGCCCATAGCTCCCCATGTACTTTTAAGGTAATTCTATTTTTAGTCATGAAAGTTGAGCTTCCATCAGGATTCACCCTTCTCTTCTCAGCAGTATCTTTAGCCAAATCTGAATTAATCTGTTCAGAATGAACAGCAGAATAGTCTCTGGATTTGATTCAAATCCCCGAAGCACTTTGGGAATGAGAATGGCTATACCAGCCCGAGAGACCCTGGCGACTTATGATGCCACAGAACACCTCAGGCGCTTCAGATTGGTCCCAGGTAAGGCTTCCCCACCAGTGTGTCACACACTTCTCTTTATTCTTTCACTTGTCTGACAAATAACAGTTAAATCCAATATCTACCCCCAACCCCCTGTTAAGGACAGACTAAACCTGTATGAAAGAAAAACATGTTTTCTTACTAGTTCTGTAATTTGCAAAGTCGAATTCTTCTCTTGAGGTGTAACTGATATAATACACAAGAGTATTTCGTGTAATACTGTCTGCCTCTCCCCAGCTTCGAATTGTGCAGACTCGGGTCTGTTAGAAGTAAGAAACTGATCATTTACTCAGCGAAGCATTTCCGTTTAATCAGCATTCCATTTCACATATTTTTCATTTTAGAGTTGGCTCAGTTGTATTCAACAAATCCTTTTATGCCCTCATTTAGTCCTCCACATATTGATATACATGGATCCCTAAACCAGATGGACCTGGTTGCCTTTAAGATTCTGATATCCGAAGCAGCAGGCACCAGGTAACTCCCGTTACGGGATCTTGTCTGGGCATGCTATACTTAATGCTAAATCACCTGAAATATTCCTCGGTTCTTAAATTACCTACGAGCATCGTAGGTAATTTAGGGTGCTTATTTGAAAAAAGGCCTGGGGCTTTATTTAATCATTTTATTTATATATTTTTTAATTTGAGCATAATAAAATATTAAAAGAGTGTTTTTTCCTCCTTTGTTATTTCTGAAGTATTGAATTTATTTGCAGTCAAGTTGAGGGAGAGCAGAGATACTGAGCAGTCAGCTTAAGAAACAAAGCTGGCCGGGCACAGTGGCTCACACCTATAATCCCAGCACTTTGGGAGGCCGAGGCGGGTGGATCACGAGGTCAAGAGATCGAGACCATCCTGGTCAAAGAGGTGAAACCCCGTCTCTACTAAAAATACAAAAATTAGCTGGGCATGGTGGCGCGTGCCTGGAGTCCCAGCTACTCGGGAGGCTGAGGCAGGAGAATTGCCTGAACCCAGGAGGCGGAGGTTGCGGTGAGCCGAGATGGCGCCATTGCACTCCGGCCTGGGTAACAAGAGCGAAACTCCGTCTCAAAAAGAGAAACAAAGCTGTAGAGAAAAGTAGATTAGGTCTTAGAAAACCTTGTCTCTCATGCTAAAAAGTTTAGACATAAAGTCAGTTGCTGAAGGCAGTGGGAATCCACTGTAGACTTTTAGATTTTTTAGTTTTTCCATTGAAGGTTTTTTTACAGTAGAGTGAAATGACTGTTTTTGTTTTAGGAAGATTAGGTTAGTGACAGTGTGGAAAATACATTTAAGAAGCATTCATCTGTTTGTTCATCCAACAATATTAAATATTATGAACCTTCTCTTCCCTCAGGGAGCTTAAATTTTTTGAGGGAGACAAATAATAAGTAATTTATTTATACTTGGGAGGAGGGCTATGAATGAGTGTAGCACTGAATAAGAATGTATCATGAGGAAGTCAGGTGTGGTGGCTCATCTCTATAATCTCAGCATTTTGGGAGGCCTGCGTTGGCTGATCACTGGAAGCCGGGAACTGGAGATCAGCCTGGCCAACATGGCGAAACCCCATCTCTACTAAAACAAAAATTAGCCAGGTGTGGTGGCAGGCATCTGTAATCCCAACTACTTCGGAGGCTGAGGCAGGAGAATACCTTGAACCTGAGAGGCAGAGATTGCAGTGAGCCAAGATCAGGCACAGCACTCCAGCCTGGGTGACCACAGAGCGAGACTCTGTCAGAAAAAGAAAAAGAAAAAAAAGAATATACACTAGTTCTGTGGAGGTTCAGGGAAGCCTTCTAGAGAATAAGACTCGAGGTGCAGAGACAAATTATGTCTGTTGCCTAACTAGAGTAGTGAAATTGAATCACCGGGGATATATCACATAGAATAAAATAGATCCCCCCAAAAGTTGATGATTGTGTGTGGGGAAACCAGAACTCTAGGAAGATACAAAGGTATTTGGCTTAGACAAGTGAGTGGATGATGGTTGGGAGGTGAGGGAAGATGCTGATTTTGGAGTGTTCATAGGCCATGTTTGTTCATACCCCCAGAAAGTAACTGTTCGGTAGAAAGTCCCGCCATATTTCCCCCAGGTTTCTTGCCCCCACCCTCCCCCCAGGCTTCCTGCTGCCCTGAGAAAAGCCCGCCAAGCCTGCTCTGTTCTGCCCAGCAACAACAAGCAGCCAATCATCGCAGCAGGAAAGCCCGCCAAGCCTCGGCCTATCCTGAACCGACACGTAACCCTCTGAGCCACCTCAGCAGTCTGCCCAGAGACGGACAGCCTATCCTAAGCTCCTACGACACTCCGCCAGCCCTGTGTCCACGCCCCGTCCACCCCCCTATAAAACCCTCCTACCCCAGCTGCACAGTCGCAGCCAGCCCCCGATCTCCTTCCTTTCCTGGCCTGCCCGCTGGTCCCAATAAACCTGAACTCGGCTTCCAACTCTCGCTCGAGCTGTTATTTGGGGTCGGGTACCGGGCAGGGGTCTACAAGGGGGTCGCACAGTAACTGGGTTTAGAAATTTAGAATAAAAGAAAAACCTTTGGACTAAAGATACCACTTTCAGGTCATTAAGACTGAGCGGATAACTATAGGGTATAGAATTAGAAGAGATAATTTGTAAACAATTTTTAGAATGAGACTAGAGAAAACTTAGTACAGAATCTTAAAACTAATAACATTTAAGGGATAGACAGAGGAAATGGAATTCATGGAAAATCCTGAGAAGAAACTAATAGAGAGCCAGAAAAAAACCTTAAATGTCATCTTTCCTGGGAGGCAGGGGAAGAACAAGGGCTTGCTCACTGATGTCAAATGCTACATACAGAGAGATCAAGCAGATACGGAAAAGTATGCACTAACTTTAATGACAAAGGTCACATGGTCAGCATAGTTCTAAACAATCACTGAAAAATAAGGAGGTGGAGAAATAAATGCAGACAATTCATTAAGATTCTTGACTATAGAGAGATAAGAGACGACCGTGAAAGGGTTGAGTACAGTTTAAGCACTGTTTTTATTTTTTTAAAGATCTCTTTCTAATTTTTAGCTGATAAAGATCTTAGCATGTGATGAATATAGGAAAAGCCAATCAGAGAGAGAACAGTCAGGGATACAGGAGAGTGGGGGTGTCCTGACATGGGTGAAGTCCCACAGCGATAAGTGGGGTGGGATCCTGACTGCCGGTGATATGATTTCCTGTTGAAGTCAGCACTGAACACTCCTCTTGATGGTGTAACAAAGTGATTACAACAGAATAAATTCACACAGATTCTCAGATGCGTATGAAAGGGGTGTCATAGGAAGCAGAGGGAGTTCAGCCAAATTCTAGAAGATGGACAGTGAATGGCATTTTCACAGATGCCGCAGGGAGGCTGCAGCCAAGAGGGTCTCAGAAAACACATGAGTAAGAAGAAAAATGATTTTCTTGCGGAACAGAGAGAGGGTCAGAAGATATTTTTAGATGTTAGGTTCAGCAGAGAAAAGTCCAAAACAAGGAGACGGAAGTCCATACATGGAATTGCCAATCACTACAATGTTCATAATTCTGGCATAATTTCCTCTAATTCCCAGTTCGAAGATCAGAAGTTTCTTCTCTAAGTAAATCGGACAGTGTCCCCCTCAACAAATGACCTCTAAATGGTATCATTTAAGAATCCTGGTATAATAACTTGTTTACTGAGTCATTTCCCTAGAGCAAATCATCCAGTTCAAACACTTCATTCATGTTAGCAGAACCTTAGCTATGAACAAAGACTAAGGGATCGCCAGACATTTGAGATAACATGAACCCAAGTGGGAAACACAATAACAAAGGTCCCCGAGGGAATGCATACTGTGCAGAGAACAAAAGAGAAGCAACACGTAGCAAACTGGACGGAGCTGGAGGCCATCATTGTAAATGAAATAGCTCAGGAATGGAAAACCAAATACCATACGTTCTCACTTACAAGTGGGAGCTATGCTATCAGGAAGTAAAGTTGTAAGAGTGATGTAATGGACCTTGGGAGCTCGAAGGGGAGCTTGGGAGGGAGGTGAGGAATAAAAGACTACCTATTGTGTGTAGTGTTATGAAATCCTAGAGACAGAAAGAGCTTACTCATATAACTAAAAACCAAGTAGTGCACCGATCACCCGAGTAGTATGCCTAATGGGTGCACTGAAATCCTGGAAATACAAAGAACTTACTCATATAACTAAAAATCACCAGTACCAAAAAAACCTGTTGATAGAAAACGACAAAGGACTTGTATAGTGATTTCACCAAAGAAGATACACAAATGACAAGCTCGGATTTCCAAATGGCAAGTCGAAGATGCTCAACATCACCGATCATTA